AAAATTGTAGTATCTTACATACGTGCTAAAATAATAGTAGTGTTATCACAATATTATTGTCAGTAACTTTAATAATATCTAATAACTAACTAACTTTCATAACATCAGTCAGTAGCATTGGTTTATACAACTCAATAGTACCTATGTAGCATTTGCCAGGGTTTTTCTATGCATAGCCATTTCTACGTATTCCCATTATATGTATTAATGTTAACAATGCATCTAGTAGTATAGACGAGTTCTTGTAAAGGAAATTTTCACCTTTAATTTTTTTTTTGGATAAATGCCAGCTCTCTCAATAAGCCATATTAGGCCATTAAGAATTCTGTATTCGTTTAAACTCTGATTTTGCCAAGAAATTAGCAAGTAGGATGTGTTTACCTGAGGTAAGTTGCCAAGAATGATGCACGTATTGTTAAAATTTACCTTTTTTGACTTTGGTATTCCCATATTTTTACCTTTACAAAGATAAGTCTATTCTGGTTTAAACCTTTTTTCTTTCGGAACAGCCTAATCTGTATGCTTTTCTTTCCTTAAAATACAAGTAACAAGTACCATTGTTACCGGATGTTAAGTTTTATTGTACTTAATCGTACTGACACACTTGTCTATACAAGGGTTTCAGTACGCAGTACAGCAGTCTATACTGCTCAAATTTCCTTATAAATTAACTCTACAATTTTGACCCAAGCCTTGTCGGACAATCGCTCTAGTTTCTTTATAAAGACATTTTAATTATGTCTTTTAAAAAAAACTACCCTTTGCATAGTTAAACAAAGACGTTAAATGAGTGGCAAAGACTAGATAGAACGGACAGTTCCTTTGAGCGTTTGAGATGCGATTACACGGTGTAATTAACTTTGTTTTAGCAAGACAAGGCAATCTTGTAGTCCGCTCTTTAGCAATAGGATCTCAGTAACCTTTTCATTATAAGTTTAAAGGTAAATTAAATTGTATCTACAGTGAAATAATTAAATTCGGTACTCATTTGGATAGAATAATTTTTAAAATAGCACACATGTATGTTGCCATAACAATATTTCGACCTGATTGCATTAACTGCACTAAATTGTATGTTGCTGAAACGGGTAGCAAATAAACTTCCTCGACTGTACAATCGGGGAAACTGATGGTGTTCCATCTTAAAAGTTACAATTGTTTGAAAATTTTGAATGGAGACGCGGAACAAAACCCTACACAACGCAGCTCATAAATGTGTCTGTACGAAAATAAAGTCGGTTAGTGATAATAGGAAGAGGTGGAGTTTGTCTCGTTGCAATGAACGAGACATTTTTTTCTAAAGTGGAACATTGCGGATTTCCGCGATTGTACACCATTAAGTCCGCTAAAATAACCCTACAAACATTAGGCTTCTGGGTCCTTCCCCGCCCCAATCTCTCGTCCTTTGATCTAATTCTCTGGCATCTATCTAACAATGTTTGAGGCTGGAATGTGAAAAAGTTTCAAGTAATGTCTCTGTTTGTGCTATACTCTGTGCCGACCTCCCTCTGTAGCCCTCTGCTTACAATTTGAAATACCGCGCATTAGTGACATAGTTAAAGATGTTTCTGGCTTTCATCTTTGTTAGCAAAGTTTACTTATTTTCGGTGTTTTTCTCAAGACAATAAAGAAATGAGAATAGCAACAGAAAAAAGTTGTTCAGTTTCGTAATATTCTATTAAATATGTAGGTACCCCATAAATACCCCGTATTTTTATATTCTCTAATGCAATTCAGTTAATTAACGTAGTTTTCATTAAACAGCTAACAATTTACTTGTAACATTATGTATGTTATGGTCGGTAATGATTAAAGTATCGCTTGAGTGCGTCTCACTGTCAAGGTAAGCAAACACATGTGCTTTATAACATTACAGATTGTAAACAGTGTTATTAATATTTTATGTTGATATTCGTAAATTATAAACTAATTTTATAGCGGCACGTCCTGGCTTCAAACAGGTATATGTCATTAAATGTTTTAGAACGATATATAAGTATAGTCTGTTATTTTCTAAGCCTAGCGTTTGTTAATATTGTTAAGAAGAAAATTAGTACCGCGCTGTAGAATTGGCGCAACACTAGTTTATTGGCATAAACGTCACATCTCCAACTGACAGCTGTCAATGTCATTAAAACGATTGATATTTCGCGCGCATTCCTGGCGGGACCGCTAGTTCTGAGTGTAAATTAATTTCGCTGGTTACAATCATATTAATTGTTTAAAAATGTAAATCATTTTCATATTCTCTATATTATATTACTCTAGATAGTTCAGTTAGGTATAGGCTAAAAGTAAATATATTTTTATAAATAATACGATTGCCAGTTACCCGGTCACCGCAATAAGCTTTTCGCTCCGTTGACTCTTTATTGAGGCGATTTTATCTCAGCGTAATTATAAAATCTCATAAGTACCTAGTTTTTTTACTATGGACTAGGATTATGAATGTACTTTGATCGCTATGAAACAATAACAAGTGGAAAATTTTGTTTTAAAATATCTTGAAGATTTTAAATATGCATGTTAAAATATTTGGGGGAGATATTTTCATCATTCGATAAAGATAATTGGAATATGAAAAGACCTATATTTATCTTCACAGTTATCATCTCCCCTACCTTATCCTACTCCCATAGGGTCGGCACACCGGGTTTTCGTCCTCCAAAGCACTCTATCATCCGTCATCTCAGTCATTATTCCCTTCTTGATCATGTCACCTTTCACGCAATCCATCCATCTCTTTCTAGGTCTACCTCTACCGGTGTACCTCCACACTCATAACTAAAGTGCTTCTTGTTACATGCGATTCATCCCTTCTTAACCTTCACAGTTATAAACTATCTTATTACAGTATCATAATGTAAACGAAAATGTGCGCAAGATTAGTTCAGGATGCATCAGATTAAGAAAGTAATTTCCTCAACATAAATAAAACTGCTAAATATTCTATCTAAAATAGTAAACAGAGTAGTTTTGAAACAGAAAGTAGAGATATAGAGCAAAATAAATGTCTGTTTCTAGTCAATTAAACACAAACAAATTGTGCAATGAATTCACTTGTATTTGCGGTTCCGGCGTCAGCTGCACTCTGCAGAACAAATGTTTGCACTGCATACTCTTTGATAACGTACTGTTAACGTGTGGTAATACTTATATGTTAGTATACTATTACTTATGTTTTTTATGTTTAATCGCATTATGTAACACTAGCTTTCGCCCGCGACTCCGTCTGCGTGAAATTTAAAAAAAAAAACAAAAGTAGCCTATGTGTTCTTCCAGACTATGCTTTACATCTATACTTTATATGTATATAATGCAGATTTATTTTCTTCTTTCTCGAAGATATTCTTCGGAGGGAGATTTTTTTTTAATTGTTAATTTGCAGTGATTTTGATGGTAGTATTATCTGTTTATTTGGTAGGTATCATGTCTTTGTTGACTTTAATAGGAAGGCATCGTGTATGTATTACGCATGGCTGCCGTATATGTGAACACCTTATCAGTTCTACAAGCTATCGCTAATTGAAACATAAGACGTTCATTTGCATATTAATTTATACGACTTCCATTTAGCAGCTCAATAAGGGCGATAATGAGTGAAACCGGTTTATATAATACCCAAATAACTTAACGATAGTTTGATTATGTACAGTTTTTTAAAATTGTCTATTTTATGTGTTGAAAAATTGAATTGATACAGTTTAATCTTATCTTACCAATATTATAAATGTGAAAGTTTTTTAATGGATGGATCGATGATTGTTGAAAGGTATCAGCGAAAAGGCTAAAATTCAGCACAGATGTAGAACATAATATCAAAGAACATCTAGGCATTCCGCCCGAACGGAGTCGCGGACAAAAGTAGATGTCCTTACCTTTTTACTGTACTTTAAAATTTATGACCTTTTACTTTAATAGAATAATATCTGTCTTGTTGTTTTACAACGTAATTAATTAAAAAGGTAACGTCTACTTTTATTTTTGATAAACTTATAAGGTACTTAGTCTGGTTCAGGAAAAATAAAACACCTACAAAACTTGCTAGCTAAATCTAAAGGTTTCTCGCCTTAAAAAATCACTTCCCCAATGCCGTCCGCTTTCCCGCCAGCCCAGCAATAAGGTGACCATATTGTACCGTTCAAATCTCGGACACTTAATTATTTATTAAGAAAAATCGTTATCATAATTAATGTTTATTCATTTCCGTTATTGTAATAATGTCAATATTCTTTTGAATCAGCGTCCATCAATAAAATTATTAATTCATTTAGAAATTTGTAGATATTGATAATTAATTATTCTTAATTAAATGATTATAAAGCCCATGCTTTAAATTCCAAAATAAATTAATAATTAGACATTAATTAATACGACAATTCTAGCGTAAGTTTTGTCTTTGTGTAACTATGCAGGTTTTGTTCTTAGACATTTTTTTATGTTTTATTATAATTGATTTTCGAAATAAAATATCTGCTATTCACACGCAATATTTCATCGTCCTTAATTTTACAATATTGTGGTCAACCTGATGCGAACAGGTACTAAAGCTGGACATGTGTAAATGTCGACGCTTGTAGGTTTTCATCCGCATTGGCTGTTTTTTGTTGTTACCACGCGCCTGCACTTTACGTCTTTATATTGCTTTTTATATCTTAAGGTTGTTTCGCTGCACCTTATAAGGTAGGACATGAGACGTCATATTTTATTTATCGAAAGTATTTATAGAAGTAACGAAAAGAACAAGAGTGTATAACTATATTTTTTCTGTAGTAAAATGACTGTTTAGTATTGATTTTTTATTATGTCGGGTAGTTGCATATTTTAATAAATTTTTGGCTGACTGCCATTAGGGTTATGTTTTTTACGGATATGTGTACCATACGATGTTATGATCTCCTAGTATCTGAACGTCGCGAACGTATCTTTACACAAAAGTGATAGCGCTAAATTTAGAGGTTGTTTTTTGTGTTGTTAACTTGTGGTTTTTCTTGTTGCAGCTTCTCACAGAAGGTTGACGAGGAGGAGTCCGGTGGCGGCGTAACGCTGCACCCTCCGGACGGATTCTACTCCCACCAGCACTCCATACACAGCGGGCATCATGCGCACAACGCGGAGCCCGACCGGGGCTACATGGAGGGCAATAGATACGTCACCGCTGTACACCGACCGTTGCAGGGTAAGCACACTGAACCTTTTAATGCCTAAAAATGGTTATAGCTATCTTAATGCTTGGTTAACTAAGATGAGTTAGTTTAAAATTTGACTGCTTTGTTCTTTAACCCTGTTTCTTTATTTGTGGTAAATCTAATATCAAATTGTCGATTATTGCCGCGTATGTTATTAAATAGTTTTTGTGTCTTTCATTTCTCTATGATAATTCCATGATTCACCTCTAGGTTTAAACCATTCGAACTCGTCATGCTCGTCGGCATCGAACGCGTCGACCGGCGCCGGGCTGTGCGCGGCCGCCGCCGAGCCTGCACCGCCGCTTTACATCGCCGCGCCGCCAGAGGGCTTCGGCCTCGCCGTGCACAACAACAGGTAATAAATCCCTACAACTTGATCTTTGGTATAGTGCCATTCAATCTTCATAGCGTCACACAATTTCGTACGCGACACTAAGTGCAACATAACTTAAGATCAGGGTAAAGATATACACGCGCTTTGCTCACCATACTCGCAGTGGGCCCATCTGGCACCCATTTGCGAAAACATATATTTGCAGCTATCGATGAGCATAGGTAAAGTTCTGAATTAATTTAATAAAATTAATTTAATAAATCTGAATTAATTAATTTAATAGTGCCACTATAATATAGATTGCAATTCTTGACCATATTGTTGAAACCATACTTTAAGGACATAAAACAAGAATTTTTATGTTATGAGACCTTAAAGTAATTGTTCTTTTATTAAAAATACTCGGTCAGTTATAGTGTCGAAGTATGCTATTGTAAAAGGTCAAGAAATGAAAATATATTAACTCACACTGTTTTATAGTAATTTGTATAAAGATGTAATGTCTGGTAAAGTACAAAGTTTCGATACGCGTTTGTTCGTAAAGATAAACTTGAGAGATTTTTTTTCCCCAAGCAAACTTTGTTAAAGGACCACAAAATGCTTATTCACTAAATTAAGTTAACCGTTTTATCGATGGCCTAGTTATTTAACCTTTCGATTACTGTAGAGTAAAACTTCTATCTGAAATGTTGGTGATTCAATTTTATTTTCCGGCACATCTTCCGCATTGTGGGTCGTTAGTATCTTTTTTGGCAGGTCTAGTACATTTAAAATGACACGACCTCAAAACTCGAGAGTATACACGAGGTTTGTTTTCTTAACGTTAAAAATTTGACCTGACCTAAAACACTAAGGGTTCGTTTCACTTGTTACGTAGTGTAAAGTGTTAACCGAAAACTGTAGTGGAAATTATTTGATCTTTACTACATTTTGATATATTTATTATAGTTTGTTATTTATAAATTGTAATTAACACCTAAGTTTTATTTTGAGGTTAGTTGTCATTTGTTTAATGTGGTGAAGGGTTATTATAAGCTGTCACTTATCTCTGTTTATTTATTTTATGGATACTGCTTACACTTGTAGCATTGGTGTTAATTGTGTATCTAATATGGTTCCTTCTCTAGGCGTGGCACAGACGTTGGGATCATTGGATCAACGGGGATAACCCCAAAAGACCCGAGTTTACCCCCTAAAAGGGGTAAATTGACTAGAGGGTACGTCCCCCTACCTCAGGAATGCTTGTACTTGAACCTTACCTTAGATAACTTACTTCCTCTGCAAATTCTATAAGCCATGTTGAAACTAAACGAAAGAGCTTTGTTCTTTCTTCTGAAAGAGCGTTTAAATTTTAACATAGCATGGAGTTTCGAACTAACTTTTGGCTTTTAATATTTCCGATATAAAAAACTTTTAAACAGGAAAAACTTAAATATCTAAGACTACGAGTGGATAAAAATCTTAATATAATAATGTCTATTTAATTCTTCTAACAATATGTAGTTTCTTCAGCTTACCTTTATAAAGTATACTTTCAAGTAAATCGAAGTTTCTAAAGTTCTAATCATAATAATAAGTCTGTTGAGCATGAATTATTTGGAAGCATTATGTATCTTTGATCTCATGAAACCATTATTTTCTAAATCAATACTAAGTATTTAGTGTTACATCCGTTAAACTGTTAGCTCTTTACAAATCTCCCGAACATTCGCTCTTTTAGAATTGCAATACCATACATCACTTTACAAACAACTCACGTACCTCACGTTTTCCCAATCTCACACAGGCCGAGCCTAAATCACATTTAGTGGGCGTCCACCTCTAAGATTATAGCTTATCTACGAACTTCGCACCCGGCACCTTATGGGCTGCGTACAGTGTAGATGTGCTATAACCTTTATCATTTCATTTTTATTAAATACTGTTTATATTTATATGTTTTTCCTAACTTTACAGTCGTTATGAGATGTCTCAAGACCTCCTGGATAAGCAAGTAGAGATCCTGGAGAGGAGGTACGGCGGTCTTCGTGCTAGACGCGCAGCGGTAACCATACAGCGCGCGTTCCGTCGAAGACAACTGCTAAAGAAATTTAGTGCTATCACTGCAATGGCCAAAGCTGCCGACTCTAATGCAAGACGGCTACAAGACGGCAGTGATCACGGACAACTTGTTAATGGTAATTGATCTAGATTTTTTCTTAAACGTGTGGCTAACGAGCAAGCGGCCAGAATCCACCAAAATGGCGAAGCGACCGCTGCTCATAGACAGCCGCAATTGCGAATGCGTTGCCAACCCTTGACGGAGAAAACACGCAGGAAAAGGATATTTCCCCTACCTGTTCGTTTCCTCTATTATCAAGTCCACTTTCCCTTCCCATCTTTTCCTTATAAGATAAAGGTGGAAATGGAAGGGGACTTAAATTTGGCCAGTACGCAAATTCATCAGACGAAACGCTGAATTGGTCCCACTTCACGCCTGTATTTTGTGTGTATATGATTATTATAACAGAAGGATTGTAGACAAAATCTAGCAGATCCCATAATTGGATCACTACCTCTTCACTCTAGCAACCTCACTAAAAGTTTGAACCTCCAGCAGTATTAATACATGTATACAGAATCAAGGCATAATTTATCTTTGTATATACCATTATTTTCGCTTAATAAGTTTAAATTAAACTATTTCAGGGAACGATATCTACGCAAATACGTTGTTACAAAAGAGTCCAGCGGGCACGGAGAAAATGATGGCTATGACGCGGCCCATGCGCTCCATGTCACTGCGGGAGCGACACGACGTCGATATCAAGTGAGTGTATTATTGTTTGTTCATTCATTATTTACAAGCTGTTGCTCGCGACTTCGTCCGCGTGAAATTATAAAAATATAGCCTATGTTATTCACAGTTAAATTACCTTTCTAATGGTGAAGGGATTTTTAAAATCGGTCAAGAAGTTTTTACGTGAAATGAATGTATTTACATGCAAAATTTGACAATACAAAACTGTCCTCTTTTTTATTTTAGTGTAGATATAGATAAGAAGTTGTAAAGAACCTTACGAGCGGCTCATTGCCATACTCAAGAAGGGCGCCGCATTTTGGCAAAATTGACAGAAGTACATTGGGCTAGTGTTTTTTTCGCCTAAAACCTACTGTCTTTCTTCCAAATCATAATCTCTTGCCACATTAAGTATCCTCATAGCTAGACTGCCTGTAACCATTATTTTACTGCAATGGCAATAAAACATGCCCAATGTTATTTCAGCAACCACATGGCGTGTGAGGCGCAAAACGAGGCGATGGTGGAGGCGATGGTTGCGCGCGTGCAGCACTCTGCTCACCAGATACATATGATCGTCAACGAGCTGCCGCCGCATCACCGGAATGACACCGATAGCGGGGTAACTACATATAACACTAGCCCACCAGCGACTCCGTCCACGCGGATGCAATGACCTATTTGTTTTTCCAGACTATCCTCTACATCTATGCCAAATTTCATCGAAATTCTTTCAGCTGTTAAGGCTACAAACTCTAATAAATATCCATCCATCTAAACTTTCGCATTTATAATATTAGTAAGATTAAGAATTAAGATTTAGGTTAAAATTGAGATAAAGATTAATATTGGCAGAGTCCTCTGTTCTCCTCATCATTAGTAAAGATACTTCTCATCCGCTTACCATCTTATTATGGATGGGAAAGCTAACTGGTTAATTTGGTGGAGGGGATTACTTAATACTTGAACTCTCGTGTTTCTTAGACGTTAAAATGTGTACTTGTGTATTAACAAAGTATTTCACAAATTTGATTTATTTATTTATTTATTAAGTACACCAACAGATAAGTTATAGAACAATTACATAAGAAATAACATATAAGACACAAGAATGATAACAAATCCAGTTATAGGTATACAAGATTGTTAGAGAAAAAAAACATTACGGTTATATTTTGATATAATATAACGATTTGGATTTCACTCATACAACACCAAAGACTTAAAAATGTATTTAATGTGTAGGCTCTACGTATACTCTTATCTCTTTACATGACACAGAATATAAAATAATACCGGAATTTGTACCGATCAAATATTTGTTGGAAAAATTATCGGTTGCGAATCCTTTGCACCTACGTAATTGTTATCAGTAAGGCACGGAACGTGTAGCGAGGAAGTCGCAATGTGTCGATATAAAACAAGGCGTTTGTTAAAGAAATTAGTGAAAAATGAACATTTCATTGCGACTATAAATGTAATTGGTATCGGCGTGAAAGGGAAATATAATGTTAGTGTGATTAACGTATTTTCAAGTGTTTGATTTGCATATTTACATTTTAGTTGTATTTGAAATTTGCAATTTGCTTGATATTTGATGTTCTAGATTTGTTAATACTATTTCAGTTTTATAAAAACAAAATATCAAAATGTTGTAATACAAAAATTCTTTTGTTTGTTTTAATAAGTTATTTTATCGAATCAGTGATTGGTTTAAAAGTTGTAAAGTTTATTACCCTATATTTAATGCAAAACCTACACTCCTTGTTTTATCGTTCACGGATGCGTTTCTTATCTATTTACTGTTAAACTATGGTTAAGATATTGTAATAAAAAATGTGTAAATATGTACCAGAGTCTTGTAAACTAAAGACCTTGATAAAAACTATAATGAATATTATTCGATTTCTATACATATTATAGTAAGTATATTTGTATGTTTTTTACCGTTATTTTGATGGTTATTTGCTGTGTTGTGTTACAGGTGTGCAGCTGTTCTGTGAGCGGGTCAGTCACCAATATATCTACATCCTCGTCGCACAATGAATCTCTGCATAACCATCAGCTGCTCAATAACTCTGGTATGTTTCTATTAGTTCATTCATTCATCATCGTCATCATCATCAGGTTTTATCTGCTCCACTGCTGGACATAGACTAATGCCTTCCACTGAATGTGGTTCTCTTTTGCTTCCAACAAATCCCAGAATGTTCATTCATGAATTAAAACAAGAAGTCCACAAAAGAAAATGTATTAAAAATTCAATATATGTGTTAAAAAGGGACTAAAAGATACTCTTGAAAACCTTTAACATTTATTACGATAAAAAATGTTTTTTTTAAGGAAGGATCATATACAATGTCGTAATGTCTTAGGATATGAGTAATTTATAAAAATTACGTTTATAAGATGAATTTTTCATCATCATCAACCTGCCCTTGTCCTTAAAAAGGGTCGGCACAATTTGTGCTGCTCTTCCATACATCTCTATCTTTTCCATCCATGCTTTCTTTTGTCTTCCTCGGCCTTTGAATGAAATGAAATTGAATGTGGATAGCTATATCCACATTCAATTTATTACACACATACAATTTACAGAGAGAATTATGTTAAATTATATTTGGTTCATATTCCAGGTCCTATATACGGCAACCTGCTGTCGTCAGGTGGCAAGCCGCTGTCGTCCCCCAGCGCGCGCCAGCAGCAGCAGCTGGCGGCGCTGCAGGCCGCCGCGCGACGGCTGCCGCCAGAGGTTCCCAAGAGGACCAGCAGTATTACACTTAAGTATGTCATCCTGATACTTCGTCATCATCATTAGTTCACTATACGTCCCCATTACGGAGCTAGGACACTACGTTAGGGATGACTATAGTCAACCACGCTGATCAAGTGCGGGTTGACTTCTAATTTATCCTCATTGGAGTGTAAAAACTGTATTTTATGGTAACATTTCAGTTATAAATGTCAAAATTTAAATGCTAACGAAGGTTTTGACGTTGACTGAGAATTATTTAAAAGCAACCATTGCAACCTTTTGCTGCTATTGGCAGCATTGTAATTTATGTCCTTTCCACGCATTATTTTTTTTCTTCTATTTATTTACTCCCTATGTTTAGTAGCGTGAAAATGTGTAGCCTAAAGCGTATAGTAAAAGACTTTCTACTAAATAAAAATCAATAATCAGATTGCTAACATCTTACGTAACTAAGTAGTGTGTTTTTAAGAATGTTTTCCATCACCGTAAGAACGTCGGATAAATGTATATATCAAAATCGATAACAATTAGTCATTAGGCGGGAATCGAACCTTGGAAAATGGAGTCTCTGATTCTAATATTAAGTAAATGTTGTTGTTGTGCGCAGTGCGGAGAGCCCGGTGTCGCTGCGGCGCGCGGAGTGCGGCGCGGTGGCGCGCGGCGGCTCCATGTCCTCCGTGCAGTCCTCCTCCTCCTCCTCCTCGCAGGAGCACCGCCACCACTACCACCAGCCCTACCAGCCTAGAGCACCGGTAACTACTATTACATCTATATCTATAACTATACTTTATGTTATAAAGAGAAAAATTTTGTATTTTTGAATTTTTGTATGTATTGATAAAACTCAAAAACTTTTGAGCCGATTTCAAAAAATCTCATCATTAAAAAGCTTTTTTTTTTAATTTCATGCATACAAAGTCACGAGCAATAGTTAGTCAGAATACGTGAAAAGAAATATTTGTTTAGATGTCCTTTTATGCTGCCAAAAGTTCAAATAGGTAAAATTCCAGATTACTCAACTTATTAGTTGACTAGCTAGCTCCTGCGAATCCGTTCTCGTGATTATTCGATTTAAATAACGTGTACTTACTAATTTTGTATAACGTACATTTGCAGGAAGTCCACATGGCGGAGGGCCAGTTCCACCAGCGTACAGCGTCAGGCTCGCTGTACGAGGGCGAGCGCTACGCGGTGTGGAAGCGGCAGGACGCGCCGCCCTACTACGAGGCGCCGCCCGCCGCCTGCTGCCGCCCCGCGCACGAACACGTCGCGCACCAGCACCAGCTGCCGCACCAGCATCAGCACCAGCCCGTCAAGGTCACCGCGGTATGTATCTCACCTTCGTAGAATAGTCTAGAAGGTATAGGCCACCTAAGATGGACCATTTCACGTGGGATATGTTTGGTTCTCACATTTAGTTGATGACTACGCAATGGTGCAACATTTTATTGTTTGGTACATTTAGTCTAAAATTTAATCTCGAATTTTTATTTCTGCGAAGACAAAGTCACGGGCAAAAGCTAGTCTAACATAACGCTAAATTAGCCTTATGACTTGAATGTATGGGTGAATCATAATAATTAATATGAAAGTGTGGATGTATATTCAAAATGGCTAAAATTTGTCGCAGATGTAGAAAATACGTTGGCTAGATACTATTTTTTTAATCCCGCGCGAACGAATTTAGGTGCAAAAACTAGTATCATCATAGAGTGCATTTTGATTGCTATGATGTCCTAAAATTTCAATTGCTCTATACCTACAAAAAAAAAAATTAAATCATTGTATTTAATGCACCAATATTAATCACATTTATATATAACATTGCAGGTATCGGAGACGGTCCGCAAACGTCAGTACCGCGTGGGTCTGAACCTGTTCAATAAGAAGCCAGAGCGAGGCATAGCGTACCTGATTTCGCGTGGCTTTCTGGAGAACTCCCCACGAGGAGTGGCGCGCTTCCTCATCACCAGGAAGGGTCTCAGCAAGCAGATGATCGGAGAGTACCTTGGAAACCTGCAGAACCCCTTCAATATGGCCGTGCTAGAGTAAGTTGAACTGAACACTTCAGCCCCTACACAAGGTGACTTGAACGAAATTGCTGATCAAAAAATCACAAATCTAAGAAACTGACAAAACGTTAGATAAGTCTCGTACCACGTAATTACTACTCGTTTTAACACATTTTGTCTATTTCACTAACGAAAGCAATAATCGAGATTCAATTTGAAAAAAGGGCGCTGAACACAAACTATGAAGTAACTGTACTGCCGAAAAGATTATTACTTATACTTACTAAGGGGTTCCTAAGTGGCCTCTAAATTAATACTTATTGCATATTTAATGTGAGATTTTTTATTTATATTCAAATTATTTAGTCAGTAAATACGGTAAATAGAAAGGTAACAATTAGTTATTTTGAGTCAAATAAATGCACTTGAGGTTTTACAAAACGTAATTAAACTTATAAATATTGTTTAATATAATTTAAAATTAAACAATATTTATTTGTGCGTATGATTCTTATATCATTGAAAAAGAACGTAAAACTGTGCTTATGTTGGCAAGTCAACTTAAATTGTTACGACGAAGTTAGTTGTCCAATGCACATATTGTCCGATAGATGGCGTGCATCGCCATCTACATCGTGATGTATAAATGTTTAGGTGCGCGGATGACTCCTAGAAGGTGATATTGTCTCTTTGCTTAACGGATCTGGATAGCATAGTCTACTTACTAAAATTTTTTTTATAACTCCGCGATAGCATGTCGCGGATTTATTTATTTGAATGAAATATGTTTAGAATGTCTGATGCAGGCACTTTGTATCGATATTGATCGATACATTGGATGTTTGGATAGATCCTGTCTGTTCGATGTTTGATCGATCTAGTATAAAATTAATTATGCTGATTATTTATTTTATTTAATTATTTATTTATATTAATTAACAATTAATTAATTTAAAGTACCAAATTTTAATTATCTTATTAATGATTGTGGTTGTGGGTTTTCATAATAATATTTTTTTTTTGACGAAACAGAAATAAAGTTACATTTTAATTCAACTTTTATAACTGTGTATTTTAACAATAAAAATGAATAAACCTAAACAGATTCGGATCTAATCAGAGGCGGAACATAGTTTGCGCGATTATTGAGATATACTAACTGGTTGTAGCAAATGCTCAAAATATAACAAGACGTAATTTTTCAGACTATTGCTAGATTTTATTTTTTAGAAAAATGTAAATGTTTGCACTTTAACAGTAATTTTGTTAATTTTGCTTATGTTGTAACTAGAAGGTGTGTAGAAGTAAGAACTAACTTATTCAGTTTGTTTTTTATTACATTTACCGGTACTAAGGCTACATTACGAATAATTCCTGGTAACTGCCATGAATTTTTAAATTTTAATAATTTTCAATTAATTGGGTTTACTGTTCAATATAAAATAAATGTTTTAAGCTGTAGTTTGTTAACTTCTAAGTTTTATACAAATTAGGTACCAATAATTTTTATACGATGAACAGTGTTCGTGTTTCAATCCACTAGCGGTTCCAATGGTGTTATATCGATACAAAAATCTAATGTATCACTGTATCGATCCATCAATATATCGTATCGGATTATGCATCCCTATATCGTACGTTTCCAGATGTTTCGTGAACGAGCTGGATCTGTCCGGTATGGCGGTGGACGTGGCGCTGCGCCGCTACCAGGCGCACTTCCGGCTGCCGGGCGAGGCGCAGAAGATAGAGCGGCTGGTAGAGGCCTTCGCGCGCCGCTACTGCGTCTGCAATACAGATTTTGTGCAGCGTCTGCGCACACAAGACACAGTATGTAACTCTAATACTCAACAAATATTCAGATTAGACATTATTTAGGGATTTCAAATCGATTAAAAAATTTATTGGTAGCAAGATTGACTTTTAATGAATAGATCGGTCATTAATTCTGAATTGAGGTGTTTAAAAGCAATTACGTATAGTCCAATTATTTTTATTAAACTACAATTTTGTATGTGTAGTTTTAAAATATGTTGATAATTTGGATTGAAGCATATTTGCTTTTATACCTCTCAATTTCCCATTCAATGTCTCAATCGGTTAAGTATTGTAATCAGTTTTTTTTTAAAATAATAAGAACAAATAGAGAATTATATGGTATGAGGTTTGTTGTTTATGCAAATTGTGGAATTGTAAACAGTCCCAATTAATTTTAATTCAAATTATGAAATGCTTGGACTTAATTAGAAGTATCGAAAAAACTTTGTATATTTTACATATGTGTGGTTACCATTTTCCAGATATTCGTGCTGGCGTTCGCTATAATAATGCTGAACACGGACCTGCACACGCCGAACCTGAAGCCGGAGGCGCGCATGTCGCTGGAGGACTTCGTGCGCAACCTGCGCGGCATCGACGACTGCGGCGACATCGACCGCGACATGCTCGCCGGCATCTACGACCGCGTCAAGGCCAGCGAATTCCGCCCCGGCAGCGACCACGTCACACAGGTACACACGACACTAATGGACACGGCAGCGACCATAAAACGCAGGTTCTGCACACATGGTCGTGACTCGAATGGGTCGTTGTAGTAGCGACCACAAGCAGGTATTGCACAGTGATAGTTGACTAATCTGTCCCCCGACAGCGACCATAAAACGCTGTACTGCACATAATTACTGTAGTGTAATGGGTCGTTCTAGTATAGACCACGAAACGCAGGAACTGTACGCTGTACCTGACTTTATTGGATTGTTGTCGCTGGTCGCCTTTTTCTAAGTATTGAATACTTAAGTGTTTTAAATACTAAAGTATAGTGCGATAATCATAAGTGTCCTATGAGAGTCGTAGTTATCCTGATTTTGATACTAATGACCTATTATAATTGTATATCCTATCGGTCTTTACGACAAGGATTTTATAATACTTTTTTATGCTGACAGGGAGTCGCTAATAAATATATTACGATTACTCTTTTTCTCGAGTAATCTTTTTGAATACAGTTTTCAGTACCTTTTAAAAATATAATTTTCGTGTTGCTTTATGTCAAAAAGTGAAGATGTATATTACAAAAATATGTTAGTTGTACTATACAAATACATATATATAATTACAGGTGATGAAGGTGCAGGCGACGATAGTGGGCAAGAAGCCGCACCTGGCGCTGCCGCACCGCCGCCTCGTCTGCTACTGCCGCCTCTACGAGATACCTGACATACACAAGAAGGAGCGCCCCGGAGTGCACCAGCGGGAGGTAACACTGTCGTCCTACTCCAATCCTTATGAACAGACAGAGATAATAATGTTATACTTAGCTTTGCAAATGCCGGATTACTGTACAGTTTAGCGGGGGGTACAGTAGGGTAGGTGAACATAAGCTGTCAAATAAATCGAAATTACTCATAATTTCAATGTAAAAAAATTAAATCGAGAATGCAACATACAATAATAGAAAACTACAAAATACTTATTATTTTTTATAATTATTGTTATTGATTTATTTAATAAAATTAGGCAAAACAAGGTTAAATAATGTCTAACAAAACTAGGGACTGTCTGGCTGTAAGATTGATTCAATTTTAAGATAAGTCATCTAAAAAATTGTTTTTCTTTTCACTTTTTATTTAAATTTATTTACTTCATCACTAGATTAAAACAATATTATTTTTAATTAGAATTTTTTCTTCCTCGTATGTACTGTCTGAAAGTTCAACAATGGTATTGACATTATGTTCCATTGTGACGTATCCAGGTGTTCCTGTTCAACGACTTGCTGGTCATCACGAAGATCTTCAGCAAGAAGAAGTCCTCGGTGACGTACAGCTTCCGCCAGTCTTTCCCCCTCTGCGGCATGCTCGTTAATCTCTTCTCAGTGCCACGTAAGTCGTTCGTTCAATTACTCACTCGTTAACTCGCAATTCACTGTTTCATTCAGTCATTTCCTATAGTGTAAATGAACAAGAGGCCACCTGATTTTGCTAAAAAGTAAATTGTACGCTGCCTAGACGTTTACAACTTATTGATGTAGTTTAAATGGACAGAGAAGGGAATGTATAGAAACTTTTTCCACCTTTCTATATATTCCCTTCCCAGTCGAGTCCAATTCTTCGGGGAAAAGTTTCACCATACCACTGTTATGATAGCTACACTATTTAACTCTTGTCGTTGAAAGATAAATTTTTTGAAGAAAAGCAAAATATACGTATGTAGCTAAGTTAAAAAATATTTTACAGTGACAGTTGCTCTCGACTTGTCCCCGTTAAATTAAAAAAATAATGACAAAACAAGTAGCTTATGTTATTCACTAATAACTTAGTTTTTTAATGGTGAAAAAATACAAATCTTTCTATAACATTAGTATATATATTTATATAGTTGTATGTAACGAAATGATTTTTTTTCCTTCCAGACTACCCTTTCGGTATCCGTCTATCGCGGCGCGTGGACGGGCGGCGGCTGGCGACGTTCAACGCGCGCAACGAGCACGACCGCTGCAAGTTCGCGGAGGACCTGCGCGAGAGCGTCGCAGAGATGGACGAGATGGAGGCCATGCGCATTGAGGGCGAACTCAACCGCGGCAAGGGGCGGCCCAACGCTAACAACAGGAACGGTCAGTTGGCTTAAAGCTTCGCGCGAGTGCGAAAAATACAATTTTTATTACTAAACCAGCTTTCACCCGCGACTCCGTCCGCGTGGAATTAAAAAAAAAAGGGTAGCCTGCGTGTTTTATCTATCGTCTACATCCAGACCAAATTTCATCGAAATTCGTCCAGCCCTTTAGGCTAAAAACTCTAACAAACATCCATCCATACATGTAAAAAAAGCTATACAACTTAAATGCTGAAGATGTGTAATATTTAACAGTGGTAGTACTTGCTTTAACATCTCAGCACTGCAGGGCCGGCACGCTCCCAGTAATACCACGACCACACAGAAGTCTGGCGTCAAATGGAAGCAATTCCGTGTTTCGTCTGATAAGTGTGGTGCCGGAGGCCTAATTTAAGTCCCTTTCTCTTTACCACCCTTTTCTTATAAGGAGAGGATGGTAAGGGCAATTGGATTTGACGATGGAGGAGATGCATAGGAAGGAGCAATATCCTCTTTATGTGCGTCTCCTCCTCCGTTGGATAAGGGTAGGCAACGCATCTGCGATCGCGGATGTCTATGGGCAGCTGTCGCTTCGCCATTTTGGGGGTTTAGGTGGCCGCTTGTTCGTTTGCCACCATATGTTATAAAAAAAAATATTCTCATCCTATAGACTCCATCCGCATGAAATTAAAAAAAGGAAATAACCTGTGTATTCTTTCAGACTATACTATGCCAATATTCATCCATCAAAATTTTCGAATTTATAATATTGATAAGATTTATTTGTAAATAAAGTTAAATAACACTATTTAAGAAGGTTTATTATATTATTCCAGTGATGGAGAATCGTGACAGCGGTGTGGCGGACGTAGAGATTGACCACCAGCAGTGTATGGACCACGTGCATGTGCATGGGTATGTATTATTTATGTGTACAAGTAAACGATCGATAATTACGATTAACATCAGATGATTATATAGTTTGTCTAAATAAGATATATTAGTTTGATAAATGACTTATATGAAGTATTGAATTAACTTTGTTTGAAGGGAAATACCGTACTATATAGACAGGAAAAACTAATCAATCTTATTTAGATAAACTATAGCGAACTTCTTATGAATCTCCACCATCAAATTCACTTCCCCATCCCATGTCCTTACAAAAATGGTGAGGAAAGGAAATAGACTGAATTAAGACCTCTTGCATGCACTTAGAATATTGATAATGTTTGTAAAATTGATATTTGTTTACATTAGCGCAACACTAGATAATTGGCATGTACGTCCCCTCCCTATCTGACAGCTGTCAATGTCATTCAGACGTAGAATAGCGCGCCATTCCGGCGAGAGTTAGTCTCAGTGTAACTACACTAGTCATACTAATATTATAAATCCGAAATTTTAAATGGATGGATGGATGTTTAAGTATAGCCTAAACGGCTGAACGAATTTAGATGAAATTTGGCATAGATGTAGAGGATAGTCTGGAAGAACACATAGGCTACTTGAATTTGTTTTTTAATTCCGCGCGGACGGAGTCGAGTAAGCTAGTTACAATTATATATATTAATTTGTATTTGTTTGTGTCAGCGTGTCGGTGCCGCCGCCGCCCGCGGGCCCCGCACCCGCCGCGCCCTCGCGCCTGCCGCAGAACCCGCCGCCCACCAACATAATCAAGAGGAACGTACTCAGCAACTCTCTAGTCGATATCAATGATCCAGGTCGGTATTATATTTAAATTATTTTAATTAATCAAATTCTGATATTCACGTTTATTAATAGCCATATTTCATTTCATGTGCCATATTATAACATCATTAAACTACAAAGTTCTTAACAATAATATTTTAAATCTGAACCTCCAATTGAAAAAATTCACGTAAAAAATCGTATTAAACGCAATATCCTACTTAAAACACAACCAAACTATGGGATGATTTTGCTAGTGCCTAAACACTTGCTACCTCGGTGACAAGAGTGACTGATTTCTAGCGTTAACTATTGACTATGTATTGTCGTCCCGCTCACTCTTCTTGAAGAAAGAGAGTTAGGTATATGTTTCGAGGAATATAAACGGTATTCAAATTGAGTTTTAAACGTCAGTGTGTGTTCTACATTCCAGTGGCGCTAGCTGCGGAGCGATTGCAGCGGCGCGGGTCGGTAGGCTCGCTGGACAGTGGCATGTCAGTGTCTTTCCAGCAAGGCAGCCGCACCGCGCTGCATGCCACCTCGCCACGACATCCCAACGAACAGCGCTCGCCAGGTATGTACTCTTATATAATAGCTTTATGTATCGCAAGAAATTCTATCAGGTAGTACAGGGCGGGGCAACATATGTACACACCCACTGAGATAAACGACGCCTCCACTAGCCATTTAAAATTTACACCTGGTTCACACTTGGCCAGTACAGTTGAAAAATAGCTCTTAATAACTCGACTGACAATAAATTTGCTGTATTGTGAACACTAACTGACGCCAGTGAGTCAATACAATCTACGCTTGGCCTGAGCTAATGTTGGACTGTACTGGCCAATTGTGGACCAGGCATTAAGATTCCTTTTTAAACAGTAATTATTTTGTAGAATACTCTCTTAATTATGATTATTCTTTCATAATATTTATTTTACAAATAAGATAAATAAAACAGTAAATTTCATAAATTATTTATTTTCAAACAATGTTTTTGAACAAATTTTAAAACTAATCTTTTGAATAGGTCGTCTCTTCGGCGGCATATTCCCCGCGAGACAACGCAAGCTGAGCGCCAGCGGAGTGCCCGACAAGGGCCAGGTCGGCAAGAGCACCGAGGTCTAGAGCACACGGAATATTCCACAAACTCCAAGTCGAAGTATTCCACAATCTCGAAATCGGAATATTCCAGAATCTCGAAATATTCCGCAACCTTCGATGTCTTCAGCGAGATGTTTTTCTTAAGTGCCATCTTTAATCAATCGAGTTTTAAGTATATTTTTTGCTGACGCTACTGCTTGTTTAAAGTTTGAACCTTGTTTCAATGGAATAAAGTACATTTTGTACTAACGAGTAACTCCGAAAGGTAATCACAAGTTATTTATAATTGCAAAGTTATTTACAATTACAAAATAAGCGAATAGTTTCTTGAGAAATTTTCGAAATATGATTTCGCATCACAATTTTCATATAAATGAAATTTGTGAGATAGAGATGAAATTTATTTCAATGTAATTTGAATTGTATGTTTTTATGCCTAATATAAGGCAACAATTTCACTGTTCTAATTTCTTTAACATCGTTGACAACGATTTGACAAGTGTCAAGAGAAGTGTCAAAAGTTGAAAGACTAGTTTTTAATATTGACATCGAGAAAATTATCAATCGTCAAAAAATGGAGGAATAATGTGGTATTTTCGGAAACGTTTGGGTCCAGGTTTTTTGGATAAGCAATTTAGAGTTCTGTAGCGAAATGGGTGGTTCATTTTAGTATACGTTGGTTGGCTATAGCGTGGGTACTATAGAATGGTTTTTATTAAGATTTATGGGGTTTTTGATGACATAAACAGGCACTTCTAACAAATGTTATTTGATTTATCTAACATACTTTAAATGCAATATTAAAAAACGTTGAATTTTATTCATTGATGTTTAAAAAATTGACAAATAAGATAAACTAAAATTAATAAAAAAATGAAAAGTAGAATTTAATGGAAATAAGAAATTATTAACCTTTATTTCCTGTCTAAATCTTTATAAGGCTGTAATAACAGACTTATTAAAAACAGACATGTTTGTATTATTAATTTTAACACTAATATTGTCCAAAATAAGTCCATAGACAATTCAACATTGCCAGAAATTACTGTATTTAAAATTCTTATTTCTTTCTTTCTTTTTTCTTGAATTTATTTTTGATTCAAATTATTCAAAGTGCCTATATTATGTTGTCAAAATAATTAAAGTAACAATTTTTAACATCCACGCGTGTTATAAAAAAGACAGAAATATTAACAGTTAATTAATTCTGCATTTAAAAGTTTTCATCTTTCTTTAGAATAATTGTACATACGTTCAGAATAGTTTACTACATAGCTGAGTAGTATTCACTGATGTTTTTCAAATTCTTTTCAGCACAAAAACGTTTAAATAGAAAAAAAAGTTACAACCACTATATTTATATTGGAATTACGAATTTATTCATATTGTTGAGGAATTTATTAGTGTTGTAGGCGATTTAAAAAAAAAGTTGAAATAGTAGTTCAAGTAACAGTTCTAGAGATGTTTTTTGAAGTTTGCCCTTTTAAAAATATTATCGTCTCATCATCCTTACCTTAACATGGCCTATCTAAGAAACTTCAATATATACCATAGAGATGTTACTAAAATTCCATGTCTGTTCTGAACTACTCTATGTTATAATCAAATGTCACATTTGACAGCTGTCATTTAGTAGTGTCAAAATACTTTTATACGTGTTTAAATGCTCACAACTACTTTAGATCCACATAATTAAAACTATTTCTGAGTTCATTAAAAAATACATGTTAGTTAGCATTTCCTTTAGAATAAAACGTTAACCTTGAGCCGACAAGTTACTTGAAAATAATAAATGTTTTTTTTATATTTAGCTTTTCTACTTGATGTTTCGATTTCACATTTTTTATTTAGTTAAAAACCTAAACGTTACCGATACTTACTGAAACTACCATATTTTATAACTGATTAGATCTTAAGTATTAAAATGGACCGGCTTCTCTCTTATTCAGTCTTTTTTATAATAAAAGAGAGACCGGTGGTGAGTTTGCGTTCGCATTGCCAAAACATTTACACAAAACATATTTTAAGTGAATGTTTCGTCAATGCAAACGGTAATTTAAACACTGTTGACTTTGTACCGGTTACGTAGACTTGTTGTTTCTACTATTTGATACGTGGGTAGATAGAAAAAAAAATTGAACTAAATTCTATTTCATTTTGATGTGTTTTTCATCTTGTGAAGTTCGTATTGATTTTTAAAACCAACTGCCGCTTTCAGTGTCCTTTAAGTGTTACTTAATTAGTCCTTTATTGTAGATTTTATACTAAACTATCTTTTGCCCGTGACTTTCTCGCGGAATTAAAAAGAAATAGTTTCAAGTATAGCCTTTTTATCAGTGATAATGGAACTTTCTAATGGCAAAAGAATTTAGTTTGTTTGTAACATACAAAAATACAATTTATTTTATTAGCATAGGTGTACACTAAGGGGCTCCCTAAATGACCAATTAGTGACTCTGAATGTGGCAGTTCAGAGTACTATGCTTGTATTTCGAGGACACTACCTCTAATCTGAATAGTACGATTAACCTAATTTGATCCTAATTGTAAACTGTTGAAAGCTTATTTTAGCTTAACCGGTCCTTAAACCTTATTGTTCTAAGGAACAGAAAATTATCGTCTAAACATTCTGTCCAATAAAAATTTATTATATCCATTGAATCTCTATATAAAAATGTATGTTTGTAAGAATGACCTGTATCGGCTGATGATTGTGTTGTGATGCGTTTATATCTGCCACAGCTTTATAAAATTAATAGTTTAGTTTTTTTATTTATCTGTCAATTTGTCACGCGTAAAAAAGTTTCGTTAAAAGATTTTTTTAACAAGATACAAGATTTTTGTGATTTACTTTTTATTATTTTTGTTGAATGACTGTGGCTGATTGAAATGTTTTCGTTTCTCAAAACTTTAATGTATAGAAACTTGTTAAATTAAAACGAAAGGAATTGATTAAAAGTTTCGTAATTTAATATTTAAATAATGTAGATGAAAAATCTGCAATAAAATTAAAAATAATATTATAATTATTAATGAGGACAAACAAATGGGCTGATATTTTTTTCAAGCGTATTTTTCATACCTTATGTCTTTGCAATTACATACAATTGATTATAAACCTTAATGTAAGTGGTGTAAGACTTAAATTGGTTTAAATGAAATCGATTTACTAACTGATTTTTTAAAGTGTGGATTATTGCAAGATTAACGTAAGGCTCCCATTTATACAAAAGTATATTGCTATTTCAGTTTTTTATGAAAGAATAAAAGAGTTAGCAATGTTAGTATGAATTCAGCAATTAACAGTTTTTTGTTATGGTAAATTTGGTATTAAAATTCAACTTTGAGGGGGCTGTGAGGTATGTTTATGAAATGTGCAATTTTTCTTTCAAATTTCAATAAATCTATTGTCATTTTATAGGTATCGTAAAGCTTTTATAAGTTTGGATGGATTTGCTTTTGTAAATTTCGCTTGAAGCCAAAGATATAATTTCTCTGTGTTCATGTGTCTATTCTAAAATAATTTAAAAATGAACCTATTCCTAATGTGACACAAATTTGACATTTGTAGTGAGACAAACATAACTGACCCGGTCAGAGTCGATGCTTCTGTAGTAACATAAATATACTAAAAGCCACTGACCTCTATAAATGGACAGGCAAGAGGTGGTATTTTGAGCCTGCGGAATTTGCGATATTTTCGGTTGCATTTGGTAAGGTAATGAGGATTCGATCTAATAACAGAGATAGAATCAACTGTGAACATCAACAGGCGCTTTTAGGGATGAACTAAAAATGTATCCAAACAATCCTATCCATTTATAAAGATCAATGTTTAAAACTTAGCTAAGTGAGGAGAAGACATATGAGATAAAACATAAGACTTTAATAGCGGGGCGCTAGTGAGCTATTGCAATTTAATGTTACTTAACCGGGTCAAGTAATTTTGTCCATCTATATTTATATTGTGTCCAAACTTACCATATACAGAATATGCTATGTCAAACATTACCATATTTCAAGACATTTTAATTTTAGTAAATATTAATTTTAGTGTTAATTCGAGTGGGCAGGTCTTTATTTTCTGTAACATAAACAAAACTTACTAACTTATTGTAATTCTTACCATTTATGTATATTGAAGAGTTCACCTAATATATATCTTTTAGTTATTAATTGTTGTGTAAATCTAGTACTAAGCAATAAGCGCGTCCGGCGTCACTATATGTTGTATTATATACTAAAGTTGTTGAGAATTGCTACAACATAGTCACAATAGTTTTATTTAAAAAAAATACAATAAAATGTATTTATTTATTTAATATGAATTAACATTCATATGGAAGTCGATGTTTTATTTTACCCTTAACCTCAAACCTCTAAGGATATTGAAAATATTTAGAAAGCATTTACATAAAACACGTTCATTTTCTGAATATCTAAATTAACATGTTTTATGTAAATTTTACCGTAAAGAGAATCGGTAACAATGTACTAAAAATACAGTATTATTTGACCGACTAGATTCTGTCAAAATTCTTCAGCTGATGCCTAGAAAATAATTTTAATATGGACAATACAGAGTTTAATAGTAATAGTAATAATAGTAAAGTAACTAGTTAACTATTTCAGCACATGAAAGCGTAGTTTTATCAAAGGATTTGTAAAATTAAAGAAACAGCAGTTAACTATTAAATTCACTATTCTTGACTATTGATACCTGTTTGCTAGTCAGAATTTGTAATTGAGTAAAATGTTCCTAACCAGTGTTTTGATTGTTGTAAACACATTTCTTTAGGCAATATATATTCAGAGATGTTAAGATTTTGAATAACATGTTTCCTTTATTTTACAACGAGTTTAATACAGGCACATTTAAAAAAAGGTTGTCAAATAATTTTGTAACATGAACCACTTAATTCATCGATTCTTTAAATCAAAACAAAATCACATCAAAACGTACATTCCAACTGAACAATCAAAATTATACTCTATCATGTGTCAATAGATTACAAATTAGGTGATCATTGTTCTGGGGTGATAAACTGCGGGGTCGTTGGTTCAAACAAGGCAGTAGCACGTAAAGCCGCAGCATGACAGCGATACAGCTGCACTTGTGGGGCTTCTACCTCCCCCCGTAACCCCCGCACACCAGCTGAGCTTGGCTTAGCACCGAAAGGCACACACCGAGCCCGGGCACGTGCCTCCTGTCCATGTGTGACACGATGTAATAAACGTCATGCTTTTCTAGCCGAGATACTAGATAAAGATATGGAGTCGATTCGTTTTAGATAATTAAAAAAAAAATAGAAGTGATCCCTATCTCTGATATTTGAGAAAATGCACATATCGAAAGACATTCCATATTTTAAAATTAGTAGATTCCATATTTAAGATTAGTAGTCAAAGTGGGATTGGAAATTTCAATTCGTTGACATAGTCAATAAAAGTTTACGAGTAAGAGGCTGTAGTTAAGAAAAAATTTAGATTTTAGAGATTGATAGACATTAGAGGCCAGGTCGTCTTGTGCCTCTAAGGAACTCAATAACAGGAACTGTGTGATTTTAGTAAATAAAACTAGTTTCTCTTGTTTTTGCAATAACTACAATCGAACATAACATTTGACAAATAACTAATTATGTTTTCAAGAATAAAATACAATATAAAAAATGTTAAAAAGATAAACCACAGGTAAAAATGAAAGTACACTACGTTTGATTCTAGTAACGAAAAGTAATGCGACTCCATTCATTTGCTGTTCGGATAGCGGCAGTGGATGCGCGGGTGTTCACTTCAGTAGCGGTGACCACGTGACAATAGCTACAGCCTTCAGCAATACAACTAAATTCCTGCTTAAAACCAATACCATTATTATAGAACGCAGATTTGCCAACACTTTTCCGTAAGGTAAGTTTTAAATTTTTTGTTTATTTAATATAATTAAAAAATAATCTAATTTGTAAGTTTAAATTAAATTATAACTTAATTAAATTAATACTGGTGGATGAATTTTTTTTTAAAGGTGACGAAGTTTTCAATTTTCTTTGATATTGCAATGTTTTATGGCATTTTTGATTTAATTAAAAGCAAAAAATCAAGAAAAACATACTAATTGTAGAAAAATAAGAGAACTGATTGTATTAATTCTTTGGCACGTTTTTTAAAGATTGGTTTATGTTAAAAAAAAAACTAAATTTTCATTGTGAATTTTTGAATATTATGCAACTTTTTTAATTAAGTTAATTCTTAAACTTAAATAAATTACAAAAACATTTCAATAAAAGTACAATCTCGTATTAAAAATGTAAACACTTCATAAAATAATTTTATATTTTTATACATCACTTCACATCATAACAATAAAAGGCACGATCAAATTCAAGAATTTTTAAATATCATTTTCAATACAGCGTAATGAGAAAAATCACAGTTCTAAACAGCATCCAAATTAGAAATCAACAACATTTAATTTGCGAACGTTTTTGGCGCGAACAGTGACGTAACGATGACGCGTGTCAAACTTTTGGCGCGAAAAGACCACACTTTTCCAGAAGCATCAACCAAACTGTCAGTGCAAACGGGGAAACGCCACAAATTATACTCATTTACTAGTAATTTAATAAACTTAACTAAATTATAGACATTTAATTCAATTTAAGTGCTGTCGGCGACGTTACTTGTACAATTCTAAGTACCTTTCTACACTCACATTACATCATACGTTATTTACCTACTTTAAAAATAAAACATAAAAGAAAATATACTGGACCAAAACAAAAGCTATCGAAGAGACTTTGAAATAATCAAAAATTAGCAATGTTTAGCGTTAGGTTAGGATTCGAGTGTGATTGTCACATTTCTTTTTTTTCAGAAATAAAGCATTTTCAATAAAGTGCCATGGTCTTGCAATCGGTTGCTTCTTTCCCTTAAATGATACAAACAAAAATGTCACAAAAATCAATAACAAAAGTATTTATTGTATTGTACTTAAAACATTTCTTCTAGATGGAAGAATCGTTAGACGGACGCGAGGCGAGCACCAGCGCCGGGTTTGATTCCGCGGCCATCTTGAATGATGACGTATCGCCCACCACAAGTTTCTGTTACAACATTCCTAATCTTTTTAATGGGTAAATTCTTAATTATACTAAAGAGCGAGCGGACACCTTTGACTATACTCTCGCACAACTGATGTGCGATTGTCAATTGTTTCGCAGCTAATTCAACTGTTTAGTTGCACAACTAAAAAATAAGTAGTGTGCGCACCTCCATATAATCTCATAGGAATAAAAGCGAGACTAAGCAGTCGAACGATAGTTTAGTCAAAGGTTTTAAGACACGCACGTTTTAAGATATTTGAATATTTTAAGGCACTCAATTACTATGACTTTTTAATGTAGACCTACTTTTAGTCTTGGAAATTGTCAGCCATACATGTTTAAATCTTTACACCAAAGACTTTAGTAGTAACATAAGCAGTAATTTTAAATTATAAGGGATATCTACCATTCTTCTTTACTTAAGACGCATCACAAAAATGCACTCTACTGAGGATGGCATTTAAACCGCTAGTTGCAGTTCATCTGGCGTCGTCGGCAATATTTTTCATATTAGGCGATTATGTAACCTGCAATAAGTACACGATTAACTTTAGTGTATGGCCTTTACAACTTGTATTTCGTATTCTAGGCTAGGTCCAGGTTCGGTACTCTGCGACCGGCCGGAAACAGAAAGCAGCGAGTATGCAACCGCTGAGCATACGGAGGACGTAACAGAGACACAGCAGTATGAAGATGACGAGGAATATTCACCAAGCTCCAGTAAGTCTTTTTTCATAATAGCTGTTGACTTCGACCGCGTGAAATTAGGAAATTATAAAAAATAAAGCCTATGTTACTGACTGATAAAGTACTTTTTATTGGTGAAAGAATTTTTAAAATCGGCCCAGTAGTTTTGAGTTATTTCAATACATACAAAAATACAAATCTTTTCTCTTTATAATATTACTAGCTTTCGCCCGCGACTCCGTTCTCATGGAAAAAAAAAACAAAAGTGAGTAGTTTATGTGTTCTTCCAGACTATCTCCTACATATATGCCAAATTTCATCGAGATCCGTTCGGCAGTTTAGGCTACAAACTCTAACAAACATCCATCCATCTAAACTTTCACATTTATAATATTAGTAAGATCAGTAAGTAAGATATTAGTATAGAAGTAGATTTTAGGTAAAAATGTAATTGAGATTCAAAATCAAAAACCAAGCTGCTTTGCTATTTATTCTAGCATAGAAAAGAACGACTGCAAAAAGTGTGAATTTATTACATTTAGCTACAAATATCTTTTTTTCCTCTTTCTTTTCAGATTCAAAGAGCGACGTTCCGAAACGTAAACAGAGAAGATACAGGTAATTATATTATTACTAAAACAATTCGAGATAGTTATATAATGATTTCTCTGATTGTAATATGAATAATTTGTTCCCAGGACAACGTTTTCTAATATACAACTGGAGCAGCTGGAGGCGGCGTTTCATAAAACACATTATCCCGATGTTTTCTTCAGGGAAGAGCTCGCTATGCGGATAGATCTTACCGAAGCAAGGGTACAGGTAGGAACTAAAGTAAAACTTACTCCGGTCATGCAAAATCTTGTCCTCAGACACAAGATGGCGCCCTCATTACTACCTATATCACACTGTTACTGGCGCTAGTAATCCCATTGTATTCAATAGGACACATTGATAACTAGGTATATGTTTGTGGTTTTTAAGAGAACGACAAAGATTTTGTTAAAACGGTTACTCCATTGTTAGTCTCTAACTATGAATTTATAAAATTTATTATATGAAAATTAAAAAAATACATACAATGTGTCAAGTTATTGTAATTACAATTACATTGATAATAAACATTCTTACCATTACAGGTGTGGTTTCAAAACCGTCGTGCGAAGTGGCGCAAGCAGCAGAAAGCAGGCTGTGATAGTTACCCGGGCCGCGGCGGACGCTCCCCTGACCCTCGCTCACCTTCTGCACTGGCGCTGGAGATGAGGGACTTCATTACAATACCTGGTAAGTTAACACCAGACATAGACTATAAGACGTTACACAAATCGATTTTAGAACTTTGGGTTAGTAGCTACTCTTTACTTTTTTACAGTGTCATCACCACAAGTCATCAATTTAGCTGAATCTTCAAACATAAGTAACTACGGATCTAAAAGTAAGCAGCCAGCACCAGCTATCCACATATCCGCGCTCCCAACCAGACAAAACTCTCAAATGGATCTTCCTTCCTTCTCTATACCGCTTCAATATAATCTCGGTAGCTTTAAAAAGATCGGAGAAGATGTACACTTAGATCTAGAAGCTTCTACGTCCGAAAATGTAGTTCCAAATCATTGGGACTCTAGAATGGTAGCTAATTATAATTTAATGAATATAAAACCGTTATTGGAGACTCGCGAAGGTATAGATATGTCTGAACTGAAATATGAAGTTAAAAATGAGAGTGTAAATAGGATTAATTTTAATGAAATACCAGACACGTCTATTCCTAGTGCAAATATAGAAGCAGAAGATATACTTGGAAAGGAAACCGTTAACGAAGGACAGACAATATCACCTGATTTTGAAATAGAGAGATATCAAAATTACACTAACGAAACTGGGAAACGGTTCAGAGAAACAACTTTCGATGAAAATATCATTGAAGATGGAAGAAATGATTTTGTATGCGATAGTGATTTCTTGTGCAAGAATAATTATGACAAAGTTGAAGAGAAACGCAATGAATATGAGGACTGTCATCTTCTAGATGCGGATAGTAATGTTGGTATGAATAATTTTGAGAATAATTTATAATTTAAGTTGTACCAATGATATGTGTGATTTTTTATTAGAACAATAAATAATTCTAGTTAAATTGTTATTTACCTTTTTCTCAAGGGAGAGTAAAATAAAGCAAGAAATTAAAATTATTACAAATAAAAAAGTGCTTTAGTGTTGATGGTTTGAGATCTATAAATGTAGGAATTGGCAAATACATAAATTCTCTGTCTAACGTAATACGTTTTATTAGATTAAATAAAGGAAGACAATTTAAAACTGTATTATAATAAAATATCAATGAGTAGACAATATTTGAATTTTTTAATTATAATTAAAAAATGCGAACTCTCGTGTGCATCAATTTTCCTCCCAATTTCCTCTTAGCTTCGAATTCCTCTTTAGCGAATTGAAAACGATTATCGTAAATGTTGAATTAATGCGGTCACATGTGCTGTTACGATGAGGTAGGAACCTTCTAAATTAAATTGATTAGCCATGAAGAACGTAAAGTGAATAATTAAACAAAATCTAGTTATATCTATACTAATATTTTAAAGAGGAAAGATTTGTATCTTTGGATTATTGTACGTATTGTAACAAGTCAATTTCGATTTTATTTTCCATTTTTAATACGAGGACGAAGTCGAAAACAATAGCTAGTTGCCTTATAAATGATTGGTTTAAGAAATAAAACAAATAGTTAATATAATCAAGTCATTAATTTAAAAAAAGTTTGATCATTCATAACATCGACAAAAACAGAAAAGTTATAATAAAAGTTAACAAGGGGTAAATATTGAAAATATCAATATATCTCTATCAATAATTGACTACTACAGAAGTGAAGGTAATAAAAATAAAACACAATTATTACGTGTCGAATATCGTGTTAATATACAACATTTTAGGCATCGAATACGTTAATTTCCAAACATCTGTTTAATAAAGCAAGCACAATCTTCGTCTACAATCAGAACATAAGTCATAGAACAATTTACTTATATTTTAGATGTTATCGCGTCACCTTAGTATGCATGATCCAGACATTTAACATATCAATAGAGAGGCCATTACAATAAAATCATAAGCTCAAAATTACTGCAAGGTCGTTTAGTTGTATATTATCACAGTTGTACTGACGATTATAGTCAAATAAGGCAGAGAAGCGCTGCTATCGGTTCATTCTTTCAGAAAATATTTAAAATCCACATGGATATACAAAATCCCGCAAAAGAAGTTTGCTAATGAGCTATCATAATTTGCAGTTCAATTATGTTTTACTATTGGAAGGATAGCTCGTAACGTCTACTCTATAGCTAGTGTTATACTCGAATATCTGTGGTATGAGGTCTAATAGTGCGCCGAAGAGTCGATCGAAGTGCGGCGCCGCGGGGTCAGCCGTCTGGGTCACGTCACGTGGAAATAAATACAACGCACGCTAACTTTATATGTCAATGATTTCCGTCGCTCTGTAATTATAACTACACGACCTTATGCTTAGATATATAACCTACTAGCTGTTGCCCGCGACTTCGTCCACGCAATGTTGAGATAAAAAAGTAGCCCATAATATTACCGTATATGTCAGTTACCCTTCAGTGAAAGTCCGGTCGAAACAGACCCAGCCGTTTCGGAGGCAACCCGGAACAAACGCGGCTTACGGACAGACAGACAAAAAATTTTTGAATGCGATTTTCGTTATCAGTAACGCAAATACATCACATTTCCGAAATCTGGAATTTTTCTTTTGATGTTACAAACAGACACTTCAATTTTATTATATGTATAGATAGATGGAGCGTTTTATGCCAAGTCGTTTAATCGAGATTCGATATTTGAAATTTCATCTTGTCACAACACTGGGGGAACAAAAGCCACTTATTCGTCTTATTTTTGCTGCTTTTCAATTTTAAAACTGTCAGTTAACCTTACCTTTGAAATAAAATAAACTGTGATACGAAAGTGCAAGTTTGCACAGAAAGTGAAAACTGGTCTTAAGGCGTAGCAAAGAAAAATCTATCCGTAAGCCGTACTTAGGAACCGACATTTACAAAGATAAATAAAATAATTCGTATCATTTTTATATCCCCTACGCAACCTGTGTGTAACCTCGAAATAAAAATAACCACTACATCAAGGTGAGAAAACTAGATTTAGCGGTGAGCGACACAATCTGTTTTATTCTTTTCATCTGTGACGTAGACATCTACGACATTTTTACGTGAGACACGTTTAAATATACTGTGACATTAATCTATTTAGTATAGCATTTTCAAAAATAAAATAGCTTTTATTTTGTACTCGGGCATCGAAGGAGGTTTTATATGAAAACAATTTTTTGTATGTTACACTTTTGTGCCACATAGTTTCTTTGAAGTCCTTATCAATACACTGGTCCACGTGTGCCAGGGTTATTGTCAGGCATGCCAGTGCTGACTTTAAGTTCTACTGGCTTACTTTACTGGCATAATGTAAACCAACCATTTTTACTGTGGTATATGTATAACTGGTAATTAAAGTTTATTTTTTTGTATTTTTAATTAAAAGAATCGTTATGAAATTGTTCCGCTGCTCACAATCGACTCTAACTTAATAGAAGGTTTAATTCCGGACACGGCGCGGCCATCGTTATTTATTTAACAAGATTTAATTGGTAAAATTTAGCTTCGTCACAATTTTTTGACGAAAAGATTCAAAATTCGCAATTTAATAATACTTTTAAAGCTAAAATGAAGCTACAAAGGTAGAGCAAGACCGAAGAAAGTATGGACGGATTGTGTGAAACAGGATATGCTTAAGAAAAGAGTGGATTCAGATATGACGGCTAAAAGAAATGTATGGGAAAGCAGCACATACTGTGGCGACTCTCCGTAGGGATAAGAGGATGAAGCTAAAAGTAAAAAAGTGGATTTTAAACAATTTATCGAAATTAGAGACAACTTTTTAGTCATTATGATTGCATATAAACTGAACGATGCACCAGCGAGTAGGTGGTAGTCGTAATTTTCGAAATGATAAATTGATACACATAAGTAATTGACAATTCAGCACAGAAGCACTAAAATATACTACCTAAAGGTTTACTCAAGTTAAAATATGCAGGAAGTGATAGTATTAACTTTAACTTTGTCACTTTGTAGGAAACTGTCTTTTAAGAGGAAAAAATGCATTCATTTTGTCAAACAAAATGCAATTCTTATGATACTCATTTGACAAAATCTACGGACACATTTATAACAGTCCTCCGGTGTTAAATTTCGATTTTTCTTATTACAACCTTTCGTGTGAAAACGATACTTAAACATAAGGCGACAAAGCATAAATTTCCATAACGGGAATACCAAACTTTGTACCAGCTAATATGGACCGTGGAAAGGAGTGTATTCAGAAAACCGAATGAACGATATACGAATTTGTTCCTTACAATTAAGGCTGTAAGATTCACTATAACAGTACTCAGCATAACAATTATAACGTAATCGAATTTGGACATTTGTGTTCAATGCACACACCTGCAATTTGTTTTACTCACCTATGTGTAATGTCAATTTAAAATTATGACTAACGCCTATTGCTCTAAGACTTAAATTTGCTTGTGTACTTTGGGTACCAGAACACATACCGACTTGTCAGCTTGTGTTGTGCATTCGCTTTTCCGGTCCACAATTTAGCTGTGTGAAATTTCTAATACGGTTCACATAATAACAATTCTAACTTCATAAGAAATTAAGTTCATATTACATTGACTCACATTTGCTAGTTTTAACGTTTTGTTCGTGAACTAAGAGCCGGGGCTGAGGGCTGAAAAGGGGTGCGGAGGGCGTCGCGGGGAGGTGTTGGGGCAGCTAAAGGCTTTCCAGGTCTACTACGTTAGTAGCACCGCGTTTATTGTGGGTGAGATCCGTATGGCGCGTTGCAACGCGCGCGAGTGCGTTTCGACACTTTTAAACGTAAACCTAATCAAGTATTTTTTAAAAATGGATCGTTTGTTTTTTAAAAAAATGATTTCTTTTTAATTTTCTGTGGTGACAGTTGCACGGTGGTTGTAATTTCGGATTGTACGAAGGCTGTATAACATAGGTATATGACCTACTTGGAGTCTATAAGGTAAATTACATCGTGTAATTATCTAATACAACTGATGTAAAGTTGATGACATTTTTGGTAGTTTTCATTAACATTACGTAATAGAATTAACAAAAAATATTTATATATTAAAACTTTTATGAAATGTGAAAATATTAACATAAATATTAAAAGCTTACTCTGTTAGTTTTAACAAGTATTTTATTGTAAAAACTATTATTTTACTAAATTACATAAAATAAAGTATTTTATATTATAACAGCATAACAATGAAATTCGCGTGAGTAGAATTTAATTTTAAAACAACTATAATAAAAAGCGCGGGAAAACACACACGGTACGAACTGGCGGGAAGGGAAACTTAACAGCGCTTCTTATTAAAATTTCAGTCTGCGTTCAAAATGAAAATTGTTTTTCAATACTACGTTGAAATAAATTTTACAGCAGGAAATTGGTATGTTTAATTATTTATAAGGTATTATTATTAAATATAATAAAAGTAACATCAAGCGCTCCCGAAATTAACAGAGATCGTTAGGATAGTCGTAAAAACTTTGATAAGTTCATGATGCATCTAATAAATTTTATATTTCTTTGTGAAACATTTTTTAACTTAACTTTTTGTCAATAATAACTGACACTTAAGATGACGGAAAGATGTTAGCCAGTTTTAACTTTAATTAAATTATATTTATCGAATTGAATGGACGAGAATTATTTTTAGCGTAATCTAAAAGATTAACAGCCTTACAAAACGCGGTATAAAGTTAAACTTAGGAATAAACTAAGTATAAGCAAATAATACAAATTTTGCTTATACTCCGTTCCTAAGTTTATACTCCGTTTATTTGTAAGGCTGTAAGACGATTGGTTGAATTTAGCTTTTTAATCCACCATCGTTCATAATACGTCCCCACTACCCTTAGTGTCATATATTGTGTTATACCCGTAGTTATATCCCTATATACATTTAGGGATGCTTATTAGTAAACTGGCCCAATTTGGATGAACATTTGATATATCTTTGAATTTCTTCTCCGAAATGTGTAGGTTGCATCACGATGATGTTCACCGTAAGCACGGATAAATGTACAAATGAAATTTGAATAACCAAAAATTTATAAATAATGATTGAACGTGTATAGAATATAAGATTCCATCAAGCGATTATCAAACGCCATCGATGCTCTTTTATTATTCATAAATAAATTGTTATTGATAAACCTGTAATTTTGGACCACAAGTTTTAGTATGAATTATTACTCTTAAATTTCATTTATACAAGTTATTTCTCTATGAATCTTTATCTTCAATTGCATTTCTAGAATTGTGTCCGAGATGTACGTCTGTTTGCAACACTACTTTTCTCTCTGTAAAGTGCTTTTGACCTACTATGTTACATCATTTGTGCGAAGAATTCCGTATGATATAAAATATGATTTATTCTCATGGCATTAAAGTCCCTTTTCAAATGATTCAACTTGTACTCGGGGACCGTCCTTACGACGAAAGGAGTCCATTGTAAACGTTTAATTAGGAACGCCTGAGGAAGTTACGCTGTAAGGAATTATTTTTTTGCTTATGTGAAATTGTTGTTGAATTAATTTTAACTTATATTATGATCATGTTAATATTCAAAGTTATTTTATATTTATGCTGTTGCCCGCGACTTCGTCCGTGTAGTATAAGAAAACATACGAACTATATAAATAACAAAAAGCTACGTATCCCTCAGGAACCGGACATTTCTCGGAGATGAACCTTATCCCACGTGTACTCCAGACTTTGTTTTATATCTGTGCCAAATTTCAATAAAATATATAGAACCGTTGCAGAATGATCGAGTATACATTAAAAAAGTAAACTAATGAATCCCACGGTAACCGTAACTATTCCCGGGATAAAAAGCCTATGTGTTTTTCCAGACTATGCTCTAAACCTGTGCCAAATTTTATGGAGATCCGTTCAGCTGTTCAGGCTACAAACACTAACAAACATCCATCCATCCACCGTTAAAGAATAGTGTCAACAATTTATTAGAAGTTAATCCAATTAAGGCCACAGATCAATCTACGATAGTTAATTTAAACTAAGTTTTTACTTTGTTATTTTATATGCTGTAGATACTATATAGCCTACGTAACGCATGTATTTCGTATTAAAAGAAATATAAATATATTTAAGCTATAATTATTGCCCATTTCATGTATTTGATCCTAACGCCGTGCAACTGTACATTTTTGTATTATTTTCATGATATCAATTTTTTGTGGACTTTTCTTTTTTATTTTATTCTAATAAGTTAACTGAAGCAATTTTAATAAATGAATATTCAATATTCCAGATATAAATATATTTTCCTATTAAAAAAAAACAAAATAAATCTCGTTTTAAGTGCAAATTTAGTCAATTATGTACAACTGAACGAATACATATCATTAAAAAATAAGCAAAAGTTAGAGTAAGGAATAAAAGTGTAATGTGAAATCAAACCGATGTTCGAGAAAGTGGACTATCGAAATGGTGTCGAAAAATCGGACGATAGTAAACCAAGGGATGGTAAAGATGGTTTAGCATCGAAGTGTTTGTGCGTTGTCACGTCGATGTTCCGTGGGTTTAATGTTGGTTTGTTATGGTCGGTGGTGGGTTTTGTGGTACTAGCAGGCTCAGTAGGGGGGAGCGAGTTCCCGGAACGAGAATGTTGCGACCCAGTGTACCCACCGAATACAGCTACGACAGCCGCTGCGCCTGTCACCCATCCTGTCAGCAAACCAGCAGGTAAGTTAATTGTCCAATTTAGCAACCTAAGTTAACTAAAAAGCTTGCGTGAACTACACTCAAGAGCATTGAATCCGGGTCACTAAAAACAAAAAAATAGCATTCTTATTTTACGAGATTTAGGGCCTGTCCCACCAAATTGTAAATTGTCTGATAACAATAGAACGTGTGAAATATCGTGTTTTGTTCTAGTATCTGACAGTGACGCCATTTTTAAGCTATCTGACCCTCTATAAGACAGTGGTGGTGGGGCAGGCCATATTGGTTTTTAAGTGTCCCAGAGTCAATGCTCTTGAGTGTATAAAGACCTAACTAAAAAAATTAAAAAGTGTTTCAAATACAATTACGGTGTTAAACATATGTTAACCTTTTAATACCGTGACTAACGCTTGGAGAAAATTTTGAAAAACTATCAATAGATGGCGGTCTAAGAGTTAAAATACATGTGTAACTACACAATGTTTACCCAATTTATAGGGTAATACATATTTTATAACTCTGCATTTTGTTTGTTACCGTATTAATCTTTATTAACAAATCTGTCCTTCAAAATAAAAAGCGCTTTACGCTTTCATTAACACCTTGTTACCGCTGATTACGGGGCGCATTAATTAAAAAACGACTTTAAGTCTATGAGCAGAAAATCTATTAATCTAAAAATACTGAAGCCAGTTCCCCTGGTGTACAAAAGAACTAGCGGTGGATGTAGGTCAAAAGGCACTTTGCCATGCGAAAAGCAGACTACCAAACGAACGTAAAAATCTTATCCACAAGTCATCTTCATGATTTTAGCTTGACGCAATAAAAACCATTTTTTTTTATTTTATCTCAATATGTTTTTCAAACATTTTTAAAATTTTGTTTAAGTAATGTACCTACTTTAGATAGCAATAGTACGAGTATAAATACATAATTAAATATAGGAAACATACAAGACCAGCTGTTGCTCGCGACTTCGCCCGCGTAAAATCAAAAAAATAAAATAAAAACATAGCCTTTGTTACTTAGTGATAATGTAGCTTTCTAATCTTGAAAGAATTTTTAAAATTACCATACTAGTTTTTGAGTTATTTCAATACATACGAAAATACAAATATTTCCTCTTTATAATATTAGTTGAGTTTACGATGTTACTAGTGAAATTATAATTGACAGAGTTTATAGTTTGTAGGTGACATACAAAGTGAGTAGTTAATTTGAGATTTACGTCAAGGAAACTATGGTACCTCTAGAAGTGGAACAAGTTTCGGCATAAGATGTACGAAACTTCATAGCACAGTCGTACAAGTTGGAAGTATTTCGGAGTTATTGCACCCGGATAAGATTTTTAACACAGTTTTGGAAGTTTTAATGTGTTTCGTACTCGGATTTTTAATATAAAATGAAATGACGTTTTATTTCAGTTTAATTGCAATGCCTTTAAATGTGTTTTCACAGGCAAAATAAATACATAGTTTAATTAAAAAAAAGAATTATTGGCATTGTAAGCTTAATATATATTAATATTCTTATATAAGTTTAAGAAAATAAATATGCAATGAAGTCTAGAACATTTCGATACAGACAAACATAAATTTCATTATCATCCACTTACCCTTATCCCTTACGGCACAGTATGTGCTGCTCTTCCATGCATCTCTATCAACCGTCATATCTGAATCCACTCCTATCTTAAGCATATCCTGTTTTACACAATCCATCCATACTTTCTTCGGTCTTCCTCTTCCTTTGTAGCCATCCACATTCAATCCTAACACTTTCTGGTTTATAAAACTGATACAGCCAAACATAAATTTAAAATCAATATGAAGAATTCAAGATCCCTCAAGTCAAAAAGAGATAAGGGTTGAATAACAATTTGTTAGAAAATTCAACCCTTGCAATGGTGCGTGCTTTTATCGTCGGCCATAGTTTATTTATAGGAGTTCTTAGAAGGTTAGAGGGTGCCACACACCTTTGACTTAGCTATCGCAAAACTTTTTAGTCGCGCTTGGATTCCTATGATATTATTATTTTTTCTATCATAAGGTGGCAAACGACCAAGCGGCCACCTGAATACGCCGGAATGGCGAAGCGACTGCTGCCCATAGACATTCGCAATACCGTATGCGTTGCTTACCCTTAATCGACGGAGGAGGAAACGCACGTAAAGCGGATATTTACCTTTCCTATACGTCTCCTCCAGCGTCAAGTCAAGAAAAAGGGCGCTAAGTAAAAGGGACTAAAGTTGGGTTTCCGGCGTATGGAGTACACTACTCGATTTTTAGTTGTGCAACTAAACAGTTGAATTAGCTGTAAAAAAATCTGCAATCGCACAACAGTTGTGTGATATTTTAGTCAAACGTGTGTGCCCACTTTTAGAATGGACGAAATTTATATGTTTATTGATTTTAAGTAAAACCGCATTTTCACTAGCGCGTTGTCCGCGCGTTTTTAACCGCGTAATAGAACTAAATATAGCAGTTAATCGCGGCGAGTCGTGTTAGTGAGAACGGGGTTTTAAATGTAGGGTAAAGGCTCAACAGTGGTGGACGTAATACTCTTGCTACTCCAAACAACCACTTATAATGCTCGTTTAATTTTATTTAAAATTAGCTCTCGACGTTAATTGCACTGTTATTTCGTTACAAGTTTTTGAACGTGCATTAATTAATTCGGTTTTTGTTATGTTCAAATTATTAAATACCTAAAAAATGATTGGAACTGCATATTTTTTTACGTAAACATATGTTTTAATGTATTTTTCTTTTATTATAGGTTGGTACTACTGTTTTTTTTTAATTAACTCGCAAATAACGATTAACTAATGCAAAAAAAATGTTTTTCGAGAAAAATTGTATTAAATCATATTTCCAAATGTAAATTTTAGTGATGGATGGATGGATGGATGCAGCTTAAACTACTGAACAGATCTCGATGAAATTTGTCATAGATAGAAAATAGCTTAGAAGAACATGTGTTCTTACTAAAAATATTATTTCCTACTTAAAATATTTATTACTAGCTTTCTAGTAGAATTACAAAAGTAATCTACATAAATATGTTAAGCCGTAATTACACGTGTCAATATAACAAATGACACTAAAAGTAAATGTTTGTTTGTAAGAAAGTATTAGATGGTATTTATTTTACATTCGGCAGCTTGAATAATGTATTTGAAGAGGTCTGGTATCGAGCGTGCCCTTGCTGGGAGTAATCGATAACAATCAACGTTACACGGTTACCCCACAGTAACAACCACGCCACTGGCTTCAAAATATTACACACTTATTTTATGATTGGTTACCCACTGAAGAATCTCTAATAATTGCAATATAAATGAAAAAATTAATCAACAATACGTTTATGTACACGTGAAAATACTATTTAAGTACCTTATGATCCTTTTTTTTATTATTTTATCTACGTATTCATAGCAAAAGGTATATGATAAGGAGAGTTTTAGTTATTATATGAGTGTGGAAGTACACCAGTAAAGTTAGATGGATAGTTTGTGTAAAAGGTGATATGATCAAGGACTAGGAGTAACTATAGATTAAACACTGATCCTATAGGAGTAGGATAACAACGGGAAGATGATGTATTCGTAGCAAATTATGACAAATAATAAAAAATAAGTACACTTGACAATCTAAAACAGAAGAATAAAATGTGTAGACGCAAAAAAATCCTCTTTTCAGTCAAACGGTAAATTTTTTTTTTAATTAATTAATGTGACATTTAGCTACGAATGTAAGTGATAATTGCAAACAGAACTTAATACATTACGTTTAAAAGAAATTAAATCACAATGACCAGTTGTGCTCAACAACGCGGAAATGAAAGTAATTACGCCGGTTTACTGAACGTTTTTAAACTTACGTTTTTAAAATTAAAATTAGTCAACGGAAAAAAGGTTATTATTCAACCCTGTAAACGGAACAATTACGAAATAGTTGCCTTTTCGCTATTAATAATATTAACGTGAGCTTTCGGTGAAAATATTGGTGAGCTTTTATAGTTATTATTATCTATACTAATGTAGTGGCAGAAGTCAACTTTGATAATCCGTAGAGCTTTACATTTATTTTTTCTTGAATTTTAATGTCTCTTTAAGACATTAAAATTCAAGAAAAAATAAATTTCGAATAATGTTATTAAAAACGCAGTAAGTAAACTGGGTTAAATATAAATTGAACGCTGTAAATAAAATTACGTGTCCCATCAACCATGGCCAGTGGCTACGCGGGAATTCCGATTGCTTTTAAATTACAGGAGCTATCGACTATTTGATTTTTCATTTTTGTCACGAATATCCAATCTTTTTGACAGTTCATTATAACGACCATGTAAAATAGGACTGTAATAGGATAGAGATAAAAGAATACGTTTTCTTGACTATTGTTTGTTAATAGTCAATTGATGGTTTCTTGGTGGATCTTTACTTTTTTGTCAAAAATGTAATTGTTAACATTACTTTATTTTACTTGTTACGAGTAAAGACTAATTTTAAAGACTAAACAATTATGATCTAAATTATTTATTTAGTTAGACAATTACTTAAAGAATTGCATGTTTTTTTTAAAATAATTGTTAAGATAAAGCTCTAAGAAGTTAGCTGTTATTTGCTTGACAGCTTTTCTGTGCTGTAAAGCACCTTTTGACCTACATGTACATAGCTTTTTGCAAGGCGGAATCTAGCTTTTTTAATTAGAGTCGTTTGCCCCTAGGAAGCGTGTTTAACGCGGAATGAGCCATTGGACATAATATTAGTCCTTAAATTAGGGATTTTACACATTTTTAATTCTAAAATTAAAAACAGCTTATAGTTATTGTAATGGTGATAGAGTACTTTTATGTAGGAACAAAAAAAGACCTTTTTAATTGTTCCCACTCTCCAAAATTATAACTGTCTACGCTTTTCGTAGCAAAGCTAGCTTCGTAGTATAGCTACATCTCGTAGCAATTGTAGCTACTGGCTACGACTATTGAACATTTTAATATCGATTATTAAACCACTT